ACAAATATTTTACTTTTTAAACACATCTAAGTAAGATGCATCTAAAAAAGTAAAAAAAAAAATGCTTAAAATTTTAAAAATATTCACTAACAACAAAAAAACACGAAAAACAAAAAAACTCAATTTTCAAAAAACTTAATTGAAAAAACTCAAGCCAAACACACTGAATGATTTTTTGGTGACTTCAATACAATATTAAAGTGGGTGTCAATCCTCAATTGAGGTGGATTAAAGTGGGTTTAGATTCTTTGTAGAGAAATCTTTACACCACAAAAAGAATGACCAAAAATCATTAAGATTTGAATAAGAAATTGACGTATTAAGTTGGCCTTATGAAAGAGGTGTTGGGAAAGGTGCAAAACCTTCTATCCCACATTAATTGTAGAGGAAAGCATTGATGGATATTTAAATCCCATTTTTTGCCTAATGGTGTGAGCCCTTTAGAGCATCAGTATCAAACTAGCTAAAATCATTTTTTAGCTAAATTAGTGATACTGTTCATCAAAAATGGGCTGCATCAGTCTCGCTACTATTCATCGCTACAACACGAAGATTAGTGTTACCGGATGTCCACCTGGACGTCCAGCCGGTCAACCGGTCAATAGCCATTTTTTTTTTTGTGCATTTTTTAAGAATTATTTGGTTGTTAACTCATCAATTTAATAAAAATAAAAAGAATAATAAACATAAAAAGAAAATAATATTTTAATAAATTTAAGTTAGAATAGAGAGTTTGATGTAATAAGTACTGAAGAGGTGACTAGCTAAAATAGTGAAATATCTTTTTTAGCTATAATTTGACTAAAATTTTGAAGAAGCTGATGTGGATGCTCTTAGGGCATCTAATGTGACACCCCAAAAATCAAGAACATCAGATAATATATTAACCATTGAATACAGGGTTTATCTAAGGTTACAAGAATAGGAAACGTCACCAATGAGTCATTTGGCTAATAACCAAGCAAGATCCCCGGAAGGTCGGAGGAGTCAAAATGGCCTCCCTTCTAAGTCCAACCACCTTAGATAGCAAAACTACCTTTTTGACAGATCTTGACAAGGTATTAACACAAGGCCTACATGAGTTGACGGAGTACAAGGATAGGTTACAAATGTTATATATATACAAATTACAAATCAAGTCTTAAATACATGGGATCTATCACTTACAATCTCAAAACACGTTTAACATAACTAGTTCCTAACTCTCATAGGATAGCCATACGTCCTCAAATACTTCAGCTTTGCCTTCGACCAGCCTAATAGTCTTCAATACCTGGCATGAAACGCCCTGAGCTTTGAATGCCCAGTAAACGCACACACACCCCGTCACTTTTTCCCAATCCAATACACCATCACATTTATGGCAAACAAGTAGTGAAGCATGATATTCAAGTCAATAGAAGTAATTTCAATAATAGAGAAAATGAGCATGCCATTCAAATAGATAACAAAGTTATAATGTTAGTGGTTAGTATTCTAGAAATCTCCCAAAGAGATTTCATCCTCCCAACCACAAGAATTGGACACCGGACTATTCGGAACTCCCCCTTTTGCTGCTTTGTTGCAAAACTAACCTCGAATGCCTACCAACGGTTATATACACAACAGGAAAATTAGCTTTTATCGGCGTTTCAGAAACGTCTCTAAATCTATCAAAAACGTCGGCAAAACTTATACCGACATTTTAAAATTACGTCGAGGACGCAGCCGTCGCTATAACTTAGCGACGTTTTATAAACGCCGTACAAGATCTTTTACGGCGTTTTTTTAAACGCCAGCATAGGAGTTACCCACCCACAAATGGCGTCATACGTATGTTGGCGTTTTTATTAAAACGTCGCTAAAAGCTATTTTTTTCAAAATAAAAAAAAACATCTGAACCTAATCAGAAATTTTTCCAAATATAAATTCCTTCCTCCAAAAAAAAAAAAAAAAAAAAAAAAAAAAAAAAAAAACCTATAACAAACTAAAAATAGAAGAAAAATAATCAGCATATAAACTAAAAATAAGCCAAACAAGTTTAATTTCTCTTCCAGATGGCTACAATTTTACATTTGACAACCAATAGAAGAAAAATTGTAACATTTCTTGCCTATTTATATTTAACCACAAACCATACCCCATAAAAAAATGTTAATGCACACCCCAGAAAAAATGTTAATGCATACATACCAACATGACATTAAAATACATGACTTTCGAATAAAAACCAATCAAATGAATCAACTTAATTAGCCCATAACTCGAAATATTACGAAAAAACAAAAATAGAAGATAATGAAGCAAGATCAGAACATCAGCACCACTAACAGAATTTAAAGAGCTTGAATAAGCTTCTCCGTCAGAGATTTTGGAAGTCCCATAACAAAATCAATTGTCCCTACCTGCAGGAGAAAAGGAATAGATGCCCATGTTGTGAGAAATCAACCCATCAAATGATGCAAGTAACCAACTCACAAACAAATTCAATGAGAGGAATTCTCAATCATCTACATAATTACTCGGATACAAATTGGATGAGAGGAATAACAAATTGGATGACATGCTTACCATGGTGTCAACAAAGGGCAATGTCAAAGGATGTTCAAGCATCAAACCTCCAGCAACATTGAGCATAACTCGCCGAATAGAGTAGGCATATTATATAAAAAATTACAAATAAAATCCATATATTTTTTGTCTATTTTTACCAGGCTATCAATAACCTCATTTGGTATGTCATGGAAATAAACCTACACCAAACACCAATAACTAATTTTCCAAAGTCAATGTAACTTAAAAGGTAGAAATATTATGTTTCCAAATTCTTGAAAGTAATACATAACAAGAAAATTTATTATTATTATTATTATTTTAAATTGTTGTTGAACCACTTATTTGTTTTTCAAGTGTTTCACAATCTCTAACTGTCAAATATGTATGCCACAGCCAAAGGTATTCATATAAGACAGTTTTTATAGGGCAAACTGGTATAAATGCTGTATTTGAAAATATAAAACTATATATTATAGGCGTTCCTAATGTCAATTTGTCTTTGTCAATCTACAATAAGAGTTTAAGGAAAACAAGAAGGAAAAAGAATAGAGAGAGGGAGGGATACGGATCAGTTAAGTTCTAATTTACAGAAACTAGAAAAGACGGCTTACATCATCCTCGCCAACAAAATGCCTTCATTGATGATTGGACACATCATTCAAACATGCAGGAACTGCATTCTTTGTAGAAACAAGTATGAGCTTGATTAGCCTTTGTATTCTACTCATTAGAGCAGCCTTGGCTTCCTCCTCTTCCTCTAATCTTGACTGCATTTTCACTTGACCTTCTTCCAACTGTTATATCAATAACAAAAGGTGAACATCATATGAGAACATAAATCTGCATAGCCAGTCTCACTAGAAGATTGGAAAATCAAAAACTAAGAAAAAAACCACCATTACATGTCAAACAGGTTTGGTTCAATGTTAGTCAAACAAAGCCAATTCCATACAAATACAGAATATAAAAGATTTGGAAGGAAACCTGTTGTCTTAAGCTAATAATCTCCTCATGACTGATCCAGTTCTAGTTTGAGGCTTGATATTTCTCTTTGATACTTTTTAATCGAAGACTTTTCATCAATAATCTGGAAGAAGAGAAATTTTATAAATCAGCAAACAATGAACAGTATATAAAGTGAATTCTTCTTGAAATCTAGCAAATGGCTCCCTTGTGGGTTGGGGGGTCTTGTCTTTACCATATTTTTAAGTGATGGTCGTGGTTTGATAGCAAATGGTTGAGATTTACCCCAAAAAAAAAAACCAAGTATGAACAACAAATAGGCTCAATAACCATCACTAGTTGCAGACACAATAACAACAGTGAATATATTTGATTCTTTAGCTGTAACACCAGCATATTCCAGTTTTTGTTATAAAAATTTCTGAAGGAACATATTAAAGAAAGACTTAAGTTAAACAACTTAAAAAATAAATAAATAAAAAACCAGTTAGAGACTTCAGAGATGTTACTCCTTCCCAGCTAATGGATTCGACCAAATAAGAATAATTACAGTGTGATCTTTCTGACCCAAAATATAAAATATATAATGATTCCCAGATTTGTTTCAGTGTTTCATGGATTTAACTCATAAAACAATTGTATGTTGAAATTTTTTTCTTTCAAATCATCTCAATATCAGGAAACAAATCATCTCAATATCAGGAAACCAGCATTCAAGAAAATATATAATAGAGAACTTTATTATTTCATCATGACCTTTCTAATCAAAATCACAAGCAAAGTGTGCTTCCTCTGCCATTTCAATATTAAAATGTAAGATTTACAAACAAAAGTAAAGGACCGTTTTTGAATAGTATGACAAACAAGTCACTTAACAAATAAGAAGCTATGGATCAAAATCTTTAGTCTATAGCTGCCTAGTTACTTCATATTCATGCTCGATAACAGTCCAACCTGACAGTGACTGTTCTTAGTATCAAAATAACCATTTAGACAAGCTTGCTTGACATCAAATTGAAAATGTGGGTGAATCTTCAAATGTCCAGAACATTTATCTCCAAAAATGCAACATTTGATATTTCTCATAGAAAACAATATCAAGAGGATATCAGGAAATATAAAGGGAGCTAATATTATAGACAACAAAAAGATTGTGAGATAGATGATTACATAATTGCCAAGCTCTCTCTTCTTTACTTCTCTGCTCCTGCATATAATTTCCAAGCTCTCTACTCTCTTCCAAATTTATACATTATTACCAAGCTCTCTGCTCTCTTTCAAATTTACTGGGGATATGTCAGCTCCTTGTTAGATCCTGTTCCCTGTTTCTTGATTTTATTATCACTCTCTCTCTCTCTTTCTTGCATTTCTTGCATTTAGTGAACAAAATTCCCACTGGTCTTTTCCCAGCTTGGGTTTCATTGTAAATGTAGCTCAACTGTTAATTGAATCTCTGTTTTTTAATTCAATCATGGGAAAGATTAGAGAAGGCTCTTGGTTGAATGCCCTCTAAAGACACCCAGAAAAGTAGTAGTAGAGGGAGATTAGAAGACAATGAACAAGAAGAGGAAGAGAAGGTAACAACAAGCCTGCTACAACATCATTCTCGATGTGTTTTCTGTAAATGAAATTTTTTGTAGAAGAGAGGAAAGCGAAGATGGATTTTTTGCAAACCATCGCATCACGAAACCACGATACAGCACAATGAAGCTAAGAACTTAACTAATAGCAATGCTGCTAATACTTGTGATTCTAAAAATCCTGTCCCTGAGGCTGCCGAAGCGGCGCAAAGATTGTGAGACAGATGATTACACAGATAACACCCCTTTTAGATTAGCAGAAGATACTGTTTATTTTACAATTAAAGTTTCATCATCATTTTTATTTTCTAGTGTTTGGGTAAAAATTAAAAGATAAAATAAAAATAACAAAATTTTTCCATTGACACATTTTATCTAACATTTGACATGCAAGGAAAATGGTACAATAAGAATCACAATATCAACAAGCTATTCCAACCAAAAAAAAAAAAATCCATAATTTTTTTTTTTTATGTCAGTAGGATAAGAATCATAGCATCAGGAATATTAACCTCAACTACAAATCAGTCATCATTAACATGCATAGGAGAGCACCAACGAACTAGTCACCAGCACCAATTTTAGAAACTGTTTTGACATTTTCTATAAGGAAAATATGATAGAGTGAGAAAGATAATGAGATTCAATCAAAAATAGAGAGAGAGAGAGAGAGAGAGGTCCAAATCTCATAAAGCAATGAAGAGAATATGTGAAATTCGATCGGAGAGATTGAGAAAGCAGATTTGATATTACCATAATAGCAGGTCAGAGAGACAGAGAGAGCAGATCTAATCAGATAGGGAGCAGATATGAGAATAAGATCTACATCTCTACGTCGTTGAGCTTGCTTCTACTCACTGTTGCTAACGATCCAGATCCAACACTGCTTGCTTATCTTGTACGTGATTAGAGACATTAACATGGCACTCAAAACCTAGATAAATCGATTCCAAAAGAGAAAATACAAAACAGAAGAAAAGAAACTAGAAATCAACTATAAATCGTTAGTTTAAGCCATGAAAGTCTACAGATCTTGTGTGAATGTAGCAAATCCATATAAAAAAACTCTAACCTTGAGCCCTAGATCGACTTAGATAAGAGGGATTCAAACGATATTATAGACAAACAATCAAATCAAGTGTAGAACAAGAGTTTCCAGATCATACAACCAAAGAATCGATGGAGATGGAAGATCCAAGGCCTTGATTTCTCTCTCTGCCTCTCTCTCTCTCTCTCTCTCAAAAGTCACGCTCTGTTCTCTGAAGTCACGCCTCTCTTTTGATCAGAGAAGTCTTGCCTCTTCCCTCACAAATAAATGTTATTTCACAATTTTGTAATAACGGCACACAAAACAAGATGAGATAATTAAATTTACTTAAAAAATAAAAATTATAAGAGATTTCACGACGTTTTTCAAAAAACGCCAGAAAAAAAATGTTGTAATTTCCTATTTTTCTTGTAGTGATACCGCGTAGCGCCAACCGTAGGGCCTCAAAAGGGACAGCGGAAAGAAAAAAGTTTTATCTCCTGAATCTGACCTTATCCTTTCAAAAAAGTTTTATCTTCCTGAATGTCCCATCCAGACCCAACCTTATCTCACTAATCAAACCATCGCAAAGAGTCCGAATACGTCCGTTCCATTCCAAGGTTTACGCGATAACCGCTTGCGCAAGACTTAACCTTCAATTAGGGAGCACATCCCATCAATCCATACATAACACATTATCATCTCTTCAATATTCAAGTGATCGAAAACCCAATACCATCCCAATTAAGTTTTCCGTTTGGATCAATATTTTAAGTCAAGTTAGAACAAACTCAACAAGATAGTAATATCCACATAAGCATGAGCATCATTAAAATGAAGAAGATAAGGAACTCAACCATAACACATGAAACATCATACCAAGACATGATCATAAACTAACAAACATATTCATGAACACAAGAGCATAAAACACCCATGCAAAACTAAATTTCCAAATTCAATACCATTTAAAGATTAAAATCAAAAAGGCTATTTCAGATATTTCCCGAACCTAGCCTTCGTATGGTTCATAGAGATTTCAATCTAGTTTTCAGAACATGTTCCGGAAATGTGATAGCTTTTCTAGATTTTTAGTTATTTAAGAAATGCTCCAGCGCTGTTCAGATTCGTCGATCATTATGAAAATTGGAGTTTCTCACAAATCACTCACTCGTTTTCAATGAAACCAATTTTAGTTGAAAGAAAACTCCTTAAGGAAGATTTTGACATAAAATGGAGGTCTAGAATAGTTTTCTACGTTTTTCTAAAAATTTTGAAAGTTGGCTGTAAAAACAGATTTTTAAGGCACGGTACCCAAAACAAGAAGATTTGTGAGAAAGGGATCCACTAAGGGAAATTTTTCATTTCTTTTGTGATGAAAACATGATAAATAATATATATTAAACTCAAAAAATTAGTTTGAAGGTGTGCCATTGGAAAGTTTGAGAGATTGGTATGAAAAAGATAGTTTTGTATCGAAATGAGGGGAACTACAAGAGTGGCAGAATCATGGCTCATCTCTTATCATTTTTAACACAAGGAAATCATTAATAACACATCTGAAAACAATGAGTAGATCCCTTAAGAACATGTATTTGAAAAAGGCAAATACAAAAGAGAGTTGTGTTGTGGCGTACTTGCTAGGCTTGAACAAGATTGCTCTCCTCTTCCTTCCTCTCCCTCTCAAGACTTCTCTCTTGCTCTCCTTTCTCTCCTCTAGGCTGAATGTATGTGAGTGTGTGTTTTTTGTGTATGCCATGCTAGGGGGGTGGTTGTATTTATAGGCAATTTTGGTGTAAAAAGACATAAAGGCCCACTAGTTGGAATTGAATTGAAAAGTTTGGATTTGCTTGGAGTCTAATGGAATGGGGAGTGATTAGGGAACTTAATCATGTGATTAGACAATATTTAGTTGGCCTCTAGTTGGAATGGAACTAATTGTTTCGAACACAACCCTAGATTTAAGGGTACTAGGTACTAGAGCTTCTAGAATATCATAATTACAAGTCTTGAAAATTGGTCCCTTACATTCTCCTAGGTTGGCCGGCCATGGGGAAAGGAAATGGGGAATTTTTTATTCAATATATAGGTGCTATGGACACATTTCCCAATGTATATATAGATCCACAAATTGATTTGATGGTACTATAGTATAAAAAGTACATGTACTAGTTTGGGGCAAATCTTGAAATTAATAAAAGAAGTGAGGGCTTGGAATTAAACTCATGTATTGGAACCTTATTTGTGTATTTAATTATGATCTAGTTAGGTTTAGGGCTAAATTAAATACCTTCTAGTTAGAATTACTCATAGCAAATCTTTATAAGTACCAAGGTCATCATTACTCCAAGATTTCAAGGGATTTGTTTGTACTAAAGTACAATGATTATGGCCTAGAAGGTATGATGGCTAGCCATGTGCTCAAGATTTGGGGAGATTTTCCTATTTATTATGTGTACAAATTCCATAGATATTGTGTACAAAAAGATTTGATGAATAAGAGGTACGAATATATATATATATATATATAATGGTACGAACTTGGGATCAATTTGTGATTTAAGTAAAATATAAGGGCTATGGTCTTAATATATGAATCGGAACATTTATTTTAGAGTAGAATTTAACTAAGTTAGGGTTAGAGAATCTAATTTGTTTTGAATTTCTTGTTTCAAATAAAAAGGCTATCAACCGACAAGCGTGATAAAAATCGAAAAAAACCTAGGGTTTTCAAGTGGTAATTTCATATTTAGGGAGTCAATTAGAGTATTTGAAATTATTTCCAAGTTTTTCGAAATCGATTAGGGTTTGCAAGTTTTCAGTTGGTGCATGTATTTTGATCCTAGGGTTAAAATTGTAATTAATTAAGAAGTTGAGCGATTTTAAAGAAATAATTTAAAAGTAAGGGACCTAATAGGGTTTACAAAAGTTAGGCGTCTCACATCTAAGTTTTCTGAAGGAAGGGAGGATGGATGCTTCAAGGATGGACTTGGGCCAAGACTATGATCCAAGTTGGTTATGCAAAAATTACCACACACGCGAGCACCACCCCCTCCTCCCCTGGCGGCCCCCCGCGACCGGACCGGACTAGGTCTTAGTCCATGGGCTGTGGGTCATGGATTGTGGATCTTGGGACTTGGAACTTAAGGCTTGAGGCGAGGATTAAGTGTGGGGATTGGGATTGGACTTGGCCCGCCCATCTTAATCTTTTTGGGCGAACCTAGATTTGTGGGCAACAGAATTATACACATGACTGGGCCAGATTCGTGGGTCGTGGCTCGTGGATTGTGGATCTTGGGACTTGAGGCTTGAGGCGAGGATTAAGTGCGAGGGTAGGACTTGGCCCACCCATCTTAATCTTTTTAGGCCAAGCCAAATTTATTGGTAGCAGAATTATGTACATTACACATGTGTATAAAATGTTTGTAACTCCTCTATAATGGTGATGGATTAAATCCATCAATTTTGCAGCATTATGTTTATCAGTTTTGTAGAAATTAAATCCTGCATTTATTCCAGGGAAGTCTCTTCCTCTCTCCCTCCATGTGTATAAAATGAGGCCCTTCTTCTTCAGTTTTTCATCTCCAGAAATTCTTGGTATTCTTGCTATATAGTTTTCTCCAGTTTTATATTCTTCCTAGTGAGAGAGTGCTGCCTAAGTTTTGTTCGCCGAAACCACACCGTAGGTGCTTGGCTGTAGCTAGTCCAACCATCGTATCCTAGGAGACAGACGTCGAACAACCTCCAACACCCAACCGGTGAGGTCGCAAATCTATTTTAAGGAGAGTGTCTAGTGCAGGCTTCGGTTTGCTTCCTTTTTGCTATTTTATTTTAATATGCATTCTTGTCAAACTTGTAATATTCATCATGTTTTTATTTTCCTCTGATATTTAAATTGGTAATTATGAATCTATTTGTTTTATTTGATCACACAATTTTAACAACAGCCACATCGCACATGCATATCGTTCAATAATGTACATGCAATGCGGCCTTGACGAACGTGTATGTCACATTGTCTTTCATTTTGCTCTACTTTGGTGTAGGAATGGGGACAACATATTATTGTGTTCGTACGAGACCAACAACGTTGCCGTCATGGTTGACGTTGAGTTCACATTCAGTGGTAGCCACATTTCGGATGGAGTTTTGAACATGGAATCCCTAACAAGAATTGGTGAATCACTGGTCCAAACAAGTATGGAACACCCAACTAAGAATGATGGAACGTTGCTACAATGAAACCCTAAATAACCGATACACCAAATCTAGGATGTTGATCTATTTTTGTGGTGGACATGCTTGGGTTGGACACCAAATGTGAGTTGCCTAGTTTGTTTGCTTGTTTTTTTTTTTTTTTTTTTTTTTTTTTTTTTTTTGGTGAAAGATACGTTGGACTCTGATCTAAATATGTGTTGTCTTCCTTTAATGTTGGGGTTGGCTATGTTTGGATCAAACCAAAATGTTGGTTGCCCAAACAAATGTGATAAACCCAAAAAGCTTATAACATACTTTTGTCAAACGTACAGAATTCAAATCATCTAGTATAAATAACGAGTGAGGATCATCTCCTTGCAGCTTCCGTGCTTGCGCCCGTCCTTGCAGGCCTTCGGGTCTACTTTTAGGCCCAATTTTGATAATCCGAACCGTTCATATTTTGACTCCTTATAATCACACTAAAAGAGAATTAATTGTCAGGCATTGATTTCTCCACTAACTTTTTTACTCAAACAAAAGGTAGAGAATCATTATTTGAACGGTGATTGGGCAAAGTTAATTTCATCTCAATTTTTACCTAAATCACAAGAAAAAAAATATATAAATAAATTGAAAAACATATGAGCCACTACCTTCTCTTTCTCCACTCCATCCTCCAATCCTCACAACTTGTTTCTCCACTAGAGAAGTATGTAATGACATCGACGACAATTAATTAAATGACACTACTAAATAAATTTTTTTGACCAAACCACTGCCAACAACCCATCATTTAAATCATGGAGAGAACAAAGAGGTAGGAAAGAGATGAGAGAAATAGACACATAGTGGAGAGAGAACATCACAAACCTCATTCTTAATTTTATCTTCTTAATTTGTCGATGCAGGGAAAGGAAAGCCCGTCTATGGCGGCGTAAGCAGAGCTATCCAATCCAATTACGGTTTCAGTGCTACTGCGGATCAACTCCATTATAATCCCAACATCGTTATTTTCTTCTTGGAAAATGACTTGAAAAAATACACAAAAATGACGTTGCGCTTCACTAGAATCACCACATCAACTATTTTCTTGCCACGCCAGGTTGCCGAGAAAATACCCTTTTCATCCAAGAAAATGCCACAAATTCTTGACTACTTCTCGGTGAAACCCAACTCCATGGAAGCCAAGACAATCAAGCAAACAATCAAAGAATGTGAAAAGCCTGGAATCAAAGGAGAAGAGAAATATTGCGCGACTTCACTAGAGTCCATGCTCTTCTTTAAATAAATCTGTTCTATTTTGATGTTTGATTGTGTTGTATAAAATTGGGTTTCCCTGGTCTTTTGAAGGGCACAGTATTTAACTCTCTTTTACCAGACTTGCAAGTGATCTATGTCTTCTAACTATCTGTTATATCTATGTTTGGAGCTGAACAATTTTATAAATGAGGTTATCAGTGACAGTGGTGTATGATTTCATTTGTAGAAGTGCTGACAATGGAAGTTAGTCATATTATGCTCATATGCTATGATTTTTTTTCCTATCTATCTTTGCTTTTTAAAGCTTCATTTGATAAATAATTAATTATGTGATTTTGATTTTGATAGTAAGTGAATTGATTTGCATTCTAATGAGACATGCATCTTGTAGGTTCCGAGGTTTCATTTGGGAGGTAGCTAGAATAGATAGGCTTTGTTTTCTACAATCATATTTCTGGTCTCGTGGGAATTGCCCATTGCGCAACATTCCCAAGGAAAGAAAATTACAAATTATAGAAGCATTTGTCTTGTTAATATATCTAATGCATATTTAACTCAATTATTACACTATGAAGAATTTTGCAAATCCACCATGTGATGGAAAGATATATTTTAGTAGATAAATGCCTTGATAGGAAATATGACACTCATGGATGTAGTCACTTTATTTATTCTGTTGACACTTTATGAGTCATGTGAATTGTACTTTGGCCAAGTTTGGCATCTCTAATATAATACATCTTTTTATCTTTTTTTCATCACATCACCTCTCTACTTTTCTGCACATCTTTTCGTAAAAAGACAAAAAGTGCACTTATTTAGATCATCCCAAACAACTCCAAAGAACATGTTTACTTTGTTTTATTATGTCATGCATTTTCCTCCACTTTCTTAGAACATATTTCAGGGCTAACGTGCCTGATTCCCTGAACCATTGATGACGAATCCGATATGAGCCTTACTTGAAATTGTTTTTTCCTCAAAAAAAGCTTGCTTTATTAAGGGTACAATAAACCAGTATGATAGAACCCTTTTAGTTGTTCAATCAATACTCATTTTGCTTTAATGGTAGGAGAGGTAGCCATAGAGTAGTATATGCTCATGAATATATAGTCTATAGATGTACATCAAGTTAAAAACTGTAAGTTGTAGACGAGTCGAAGCAGATGAACAAAGGTCTTAAGTTGAAATTAAGGCAGGTGAAGGTTTAAAGCCAATAGGAAGACGAGCAATAATGTAAAATTTGATCTTGTGCTTGAATCTTGTCAAGACCAGAACCCTTCCTTCTCCCCGGTGGAAAATTGATACAATTAGATCCTTATGGGTTCTTTGCATCACCTCCTTTACATTTCTTCATCTTTGCCTCCCCATTGAAGAGGATAGCTTCTCAAGAACACCCTTCTATTGTTGTAGTTTTTGTAGCGAAAGCTCTCGGTTCTTAGACCATTTTCTGCTATAATTTCAAACCCCATTTGAACTATAGGTGTTAACAATGGTCTGATTCTTGTTGTTGGGAGAAAGGTATTTTTATAGGAAGAAAAATGGCAGGAGAGTATGAATAATTTAATTACTATGTTGATAAGAGAGAGAGAGAGAGAGAGAGAGAGAGACTATTTTCTTAAAAAAATAGCATAAGAGGAATCATTTCATGATCTAAATGGTTGTGGCATCTCTAGTAATTGTCAGTTAATTGCAAATGAATCGAGCTGGGTAGTAAGTTGTTGAAATTTGACTTGGAAAATTTAGCTTGACTTGTTTATTTTTTAAATTGATCTCAAACAAGTGTTATTGAACTGAGCTTTGTTTTACTTCCTATGTGTATTCATGTAATAAAAATTATGCATATGTTTTGGACCCACTATATTTAACAAATAATGAGAGAATCATATTTTCATACTGTTATAATTGTTCTATTATCCCTTGTCAAATTGTATTCCCATACTCCAACGTGCTTCACAATATTTAACTTTTCGAATGATTAATTGTTTCTTTGTTACTACTTCATCTTCGTAGAAAAGAATATACCATATGAATATATCTGTAAGACCATAGTATTTTTATTTGTTCTACCTCATGAAAGTGATTTTATGGAATATGCTCCTCAATTTCCACACACTAAAGCTGTAAGAGGTGTGTTTTGTTCCAATGATCCAATGTGAATCCTAATTACACGAGTAGTTGATAAAATACGCTTAATTTTTTTTTGTTTCTTTCTTTTCTTTTTCTTTTATTTATTTATTTATAAATATTTAGTTAAGAAAACAATTTTTTGTTTTGTTTTACGTGTTATCGGTTTTTTTTTTTGGGGGAATAACTAAACATATAGACAATTGCAAGAAGAAAACAAAAACAATCTCACACAAGAAACAACACAGAGATTTACGTGGTTCGGCAAAATTGTCTACGTCCACGGATCATACTAATTTTATTATATTAGAGGGAATGAAAAGAGAGTACAATTGGCTACCATATAAAACAACACGATATAGAGCACTAGTGCTACATCAACAATTACCAAGGTTTGATTCTTATAACAAAATAAATTCTTTTGTCATTTTAAATTCTTATATTTCAATTTATTTTCAATCTAAACCATGTCTATTTTCGTTAAAGAAAACAGATAGAAAAATGGTTCTTTTAATCATTAAACTCAATGAAAATAATATTTTAAACATTTTATGTACACTTACATTGAGTTTAATGGCTAAAATACTCGTTTTTCATCAATTTTACTTAACGAAAATAAACAAATGATTTAGATTGATAATAAATCAAAAGATTACGACTTAAATTAACAAAATAAAAAATTCAGAATTTATTTTATTGTAAGGATCAAACTTTAATTTTTTTTCCCAATATTTTTTTATTTGTATAATATTACTACGACATTCCTTTGTTGGCTTTTGGCTATGATAAGTTTATTAGTTGCTCTTATCATTAATAGCAATAAAATAACAGAGCCTTTATTACAAATATCATTAATGGAAACAAATATAGCCAGAGTTTTGAAATCTGAGAAACATGAAGAAAAATCTAAGCCACGTTGACCGTGGTGGGAGGGCAAGCAATGTTATTCATTTGATGTCCTTCTTGTTCGAAGTTCCCTTTCTGAATCAACATATCTGTAAAAAGTCAAAATTTTGGTTTTTTTTAAAAAAATAAGTCGCCATTTCTCATGCAAAGTATCAACGTGATTGATACATTATGTAAATTTTTTTTTTTTGATCAGCAAAGAAAAAAAAAACTTTATTGATGAGATGCGCAAAAAAAAAGCAACAAAATACATCAATAAATGAGGAAAGTGCAAAAAGCATCATAGCTAACACTCCACAATAACTAGGTTGGCACCAAGGAAGAAGCACAATCATCTGCTAGCACTAAACCCGCAGATTGGCGAGAAACCAATCCAAAAAAGAGAAACAAAAAGAAAAAATACATCAGCAAGCACTAGCAGACCAAACCAATCCTGCTGCCCTATGTATCCAGACCAAACATTATGTTAATTTACCAATATTTTGCACAAAGAATGGGGAGATTTATGATCTTACTGCATTTGTACAGCAAAGGATGAATTTTTACTTCATCGGTCTACTCCAAGGATGCAAAAATCCTGAAATGTATTTGTGTGATTTGTTTTTTTAATCGAAGTCCACTTCAATGTATTTGTTGACAAAGCATTTTTTTTTTTTTTTTTTGTTTTTTTTGAAATGCAAATGATGCATGAAATGCATATTTTATGGAATGCGCGACAACACGCGGCTCAAGATATGTACAAAGCAATAGTGTGCACACCAATGCAATAAAGGTCTTGCACCTTCCAAGGATTTAAGGTCTCCTAGACCGGAATGCCA